TTTTTTTTTTTTTTTTTTTTTTACCAAAAACAAAAACGAAAACAACAACTTTGGGTCTCACAATAAATCAATTCTACCTCTCAGGTGCAGCAAACCTCTGATATCAATTAGCCAGGCAAGCCCCTGAAACAGCACCTGGCCTGAGGCTGGCCATGGGCCACGACCTCCGAGGGTGCTGCCTTGTGCTGTAGACAGGAGCCGGACTGGACGGCTCATCTTTGGAAAACCCCACCTGTGCCCCACAGGGGCTGCTGGAATTGTAGCTGCTCTGGGCATGAGAGGCACTCCCGTCAAATGCTCTGTAGGCATCTGGGGAAAGTGGGCTCCTGGACAAATACGTCTCAGGGTCTTTGACTGCACAGTTGACTAGACTGGAAAGTGCTCTGCGGCGAAAGCAACCCTCTTCCCCCAAATCAGGAGTGTCTTTCTACTTCTCTACTTTCAGAGCCCCCTTTCTGTCCCTCGCTGCCCTTGGTCTGGCTCCGCCCATTTATATGCATCCTCTTGTATGTATATTTAAAGCCATCTCTGGCCTCTGCTAACCATCTGTGGTGCATGTTTGCAGAGCCCCGTGAGTGACGTGCAGTCACTTTACGTTTCTGGACTAACACCCTTAAACTTGAAAGATTTCGAGTCCTGTGAGTCGTTGGGGTCCCGCATGCTAGGGTCTTCAGAAGTCAGCATCCTGTGGGGCTGGAGATGGAGCCTCATTTGTGCTTCAGGCAGAACTTGCCTGTGCGCCACCCCTCCACCCCCCAGCCCCCGCCAGGAAGCCACTAGGATTTGCTGTTTGGCCAAATGATGAGTTTTTCCTCATTAATGGGATGGCGGTATGGTTGCCTCACCGCCCTGGGGAGTGAGAGTAGGGAACTGCCCAGCCTGGATGACACAGGAGCATCCTTTATACCTGGAATTAATTCCTTTATACCTGGAATCAGCCGAGAGGTGGGCCTCTGGTCAATGAGTGCAAAGCAATGGAGCTGTTGGCCCCCAGCATCCCGCCCATGTCCGCTAGTCTCTGGTCCCCTGTGGCGAGGTCATGAGACAGAAGCTTCACAAATGTGCTCTGACGGGGAGCAGGTGACCCCAAGCCCAGTGCTGTCCTCACTGGGGCTTGTGACATAAACTGTACACACCGCCAATCCATACTGAAAGTGGGACTTCCACTAGCTTCTCGCTGCGAGGGGCCTCAGGCGGCAGCCCTGGGCCAAAGTGACCACATCAAGGCCGTCAGGGATGAAGTAGCCAAGGTGACACCAGATCCTCAGGGGTGGTCAGGTAGGGGCCCCTGCAGGCCCCTGGATGCCCTCATCTCTGGGGCAGAACAGGGAAGCCAGCTGCTGAGAGCTGGGGAGGCCAGAGCTGGCTGGGGCCAGTGAAGGGCCAGCATTTCCCAGGGTTTATCAGGCAAAAAATCCAGCGCAACTGGTGACAATCACCACATGGCTCCAGTCCCCTCATGTCAGGCCCACTAGCTGGGGGGCCCACAGGGTACCAGGAGGATGGGAGTGAGGAAAAGATTGTCCCCTGCCTGGCCCACAGGTCAGATCCCCATGGCCTGTGCCTGACCCCACAGTAACATCCAGAGGATGGCAGGGGTCTGGGCTGGTCTGTAGAAGGAATTCCCTATCTGTCCATCCCCCAGAGTACTCAGAGCGGGGTGCATTATCGCCTAGGAATGTTGAGGGGGGAATGGGGCTGGAGCTAGTCCCTGAGTTAGCTGGGGGGTGCCTGGAGGAGCATGCTGGACAGGGGGGTGTATGTCTTGGTCCGAGGCTTGGGGCGCTTGGCGACGCACCAGTGCTGACTCAGGGCTTCTCCGGCTCTCTCCTCTCCCACCCCACCAACTGCCCCAGCCTTGGCCAGCGAGCCCTGGCTGCCGGTTCCCCAGGTCTCCTTGCGCAGGGGCAGAGGGAACCCAAGCTGCTGCAGGCCCTCCCCCACCCCGGCGCCCGGGGCCAAGTCAGCAGTGCTGGCTGCGGGGCTGCAGCAGCGGGCGGTGCAGAGGCCCTGCACCACTGCTCCGGGCTGGCGCCTCTGCCGCTCTCCCGACGGCCACCTCCTGGCGGCTGCGCACAGCCAGCCTGAGACAGGACCTGGTCCTGATTGGTGCAGTGAGTGAGCCTCTGGTTTTATTTATACAACCTTTCTTCACGACTCTACTCCATCGGAGTTGAGGACT